TGATGGTGCCATTTGACTTACAGGTGAGGAAAACCCGGAAAACCTCACCCACCATCATCGAGACGGTAATGTATGGCGAATTTTTTTTTTCCATTACATTCCAAAAAACGAAATAAAAATCAAGAAAAACAAATATAGCCAAGACAGCCAAACAAAATTATCAATATAAATCTAAAACACCATATCAAAAAATACAAACAAAAAAACTTTTTAAATAAATCTAATTAAGTTGGACATTTTTTAAATTATTGCCTTCCTTTAGTAGGCAATCGGCCCTTATTTGCCAATAACGTTTCTCTTCTTTTGCTGCTTCCATTTTAACATTATGCAATTCTCTTTGCTGTTCCATTGACTCCTCTAGCTTTATTTTTCTTAAGGCAGCCTCTTCGTCAATGTGAGTATATTTTGTTCTCTTTTCCTTATTGAATCTACCTCGTTACCATTTTTTATATTCACCAGTATCTTTTTTAATGCTTTGATTGCCTTTTTCTACAGTTACTCCTGAAATAATAACTTGTCAGTATAGTATAATAAAGTAAAAAAAAAATAAGTACTTTTATAATCATGGTCATCAAGTATGGTGAGCGAATGAAAACTATACGCCCCGGGCTCCTTGTGGGTTGTTATAGATGAAGTAGCCGTCTCATATACGTTTTTTGCTGCCTCAAAAAGAGCTATGCTGTCAAAAATGTCATTTAATGTAGCTACGTTCACGGTTCACGCTACGTCGAACGTTGACATAAATCTGACAGAAAATGCGACATTGCCATATCTTAATTCTTCTTAAGGTTGCCTTACTGAAGGATGGTAATTAAACACACTATTAAAGAGAAATTTCGAGGAAGACTTAAGGTCACCTTACCTAATGCACTCTTGAGTGTTCCTTCAAGTATCGACTATGAATACGGCCCTAAGGCTCATACTACTATTATAGTAGGGTACAAGCATAATGGCTATAGATTGTGGGATCCATTTAAAAAAAATAATGAAAAGAAAAATACAAAACACATTGAAAATTATTCATCAGATACTGAAGAAATTACAATTGTTGAGCTGAAAATACAAGAAGAAAATGATAAGTTAGAAGAAACGGTTCATGAAGAAATTGAAATGGAAGAAAATATGACCGAAGAAGACAAAGAAAAAACGACTGAAATAGAAGAAGAAAATGAAGAAATTCCCAGGGAGAGTAATAGAAGAAAACAAAAACCACAATACTTAAATGATTACCTGGATAAACAGGAAATAGAACATTTAGCATTAAGTGCTGAAGCATATGTAGATAACGTGCCAAGGAGCTTTGAAGAAGTAAAAATTAGGTAAGATAGAAGAAGAA